ACCCTCAACCCTGCAATTTGCCTAAACCCTGAACCCTGGACCACCCTGGACCTGTTCATCTGTAGGCCGGAATAAAATAGTCTGACTTTTTTCGGACCCTCAACCCGAAACCCAAAACCCTCAACCCTGCAATTTGCCTAAACCCTGAACCCTGGACCCTCAACCCGGAACCCCAAACCTTAAGCCCAAGCCCCGCCTCAATCCCGGAACTCCGAAGTGCGAGCTTGGCTGGCTTCAAACAATCGGTTGCACTGCTCTCGATCTGCACAAGGCTGGTGCGAATGCAGGATTAGGTTTCAGCTTGTCGGTGCAGGAGGGCCCCCAAATCCTCACGCAGAACGTTCCTTATTGTATAGTTTGCTACTGTTTCTTCGAGTCCTATTATACCCTAAAGCCTATATATAATTACTGTAGGAACCTGCACCGGCATCGCGACACCTGCTGCTGTGCCAGCTTCACTAGCTATAGTTACCGGCGACCGTTCCGAAGTGTCCGATGGAAACATGTCCACAGCTTGAAGCGACCCTCAAACCCCCGCCCGAAACCTCAAAGCCCGGAAGCCAAAGCTCTTTCGTGAAATCCCCGAGCCTGCGAAAGCTGAAGCCACATTCAGTGCTGTGCGACAAGCGACATTCTGTAGCAGTCATCGGAAGATCCTTGGTCGATGTTGTGCGAAGATTAGGCCCGAAGCTGAGCCACCAAGAGTTCATGCCGCTTAAACTCAACACCAGCCCTAAGCCTCAACCCTAAGCCTTAAAACACCACCCTTAACCCTAAGCTTCAAAACACAACCCTTAACCCTAAGCCTTAAAACACCACAGTTAACCCTAAGCCTTAAACCACCACCCTTAACCCTAAGCCTCAACCCTTAAGGCCCTTAACCCTAAGCTTCAACCCTAAGCCTTAAAAACACCACCCTTAACCCTAAGCCTTAAAGTGTTAAAGCTTGATGAACAAAGTATGTCGCCACCGAAACTGTGAAGACCCCAAAATCCTGAAGCTTTCTGAATGAAGTATATCACCCCAGAGCGCCCCAAATCCTCAAATCGAGAACGCTCACCGCTTCGCCGTCATGACTGTCCATGAGTCTGAAGAGAGCTCGCTTGCTGGAGCAAACAAGTTTTTGTGTGGACGATACAGCTGAAAGAGAAGACGCCGAATATCGAAAGGAGGCTGGGGTCAAGTTCAGAAAACACTTGCTGGAACGATATACGACTGGAGCTGCCACTGCTGCTGACACTTGTATCCTGGCTTATCATCATACTGAATCGGGCGGCCTGGGCACTGAAGATCTGGGGCTGCACCCGGACCAGGCCAGCATTCATGGATCCAGACATCTCCGGCTCCCGGGTCTTAGTTTGGCACTGTTTCTTTGTTTGTTGTTTGTTCGGTCTTTGGGGTCTTGGCTTGGTTGTGTTGTTGTTTGTCCAAAGCTTTTCTTCTGGCGAGCCCACTAATATGTGCGAAATGGTAGAGCGGTATATTATACTAGTATTGGCAGTGAGAAGCTAAGATGCCATCTTGCCAAAGACTTCGAAGAGCCCTACGTGGAATACGTGCATGTGCCTATGAACTGCAAGAAATCCTTCGGGCGAGTCTCGGTGCAGCATCCTACAAGGGTAACATCCGATCTGCTTCGTTGTGAGTTGAATGTTTTAGGGCTCCTGGGGTCCGGGGCAAGTGCAAACTCAAAGCTTCTGAAAGATCACCTTGATGCCGATAAGGGTTACTGGGATTTGTACTGCAACCACCCCGTGGTCCAGAAAGCCTTTCAAGAAGGATTTCGTCAGGAACACGTCGTTCCCCTGTCTGTTTACTTTGATGGGGTGCAATACACAAAGAACGAAAACTTTCTGGGCTTCTACATGACGAACCTTCGCTCTGGGAAGCAACAACTGGTGTGGCTCTTGAGTGCCTTGGGTTATTATAGTTATTGCTGCCGTTGTAATAACCGTAACTTATTTCCGAAGAGACCTTATATTCAACCAAAGACAATATGTTTCTTCATTACCGAAAAACATCGCACACCCAGGGCTGTCAGAGCTCTGCTCGTGCGGCTGTCGTGGCTGGTGTTCAGTCTTCCCGCTTCCGGAACATTTCCGTTGTGACATGAGCCGTGAGCACACCGATATTCGACCGGCGATTTTGGATTTCAAGGCCGACTGGCCGGCACTGGTCGAGATTTGCGGCCTTCGGACATGGTCTCACAACCTCCATCCATGCCCATGCTGCACGGTGGATAAGTCTTCCTTGTTGGCCGTCGGCACACATTCCTTGAATTCCTCGCCGAACCCACTTTTTACGCAGAGCTCTTATGACGAGCTCGTAGCACGGACTTTCCGGGCCGCTGGACTCCGCAGCAGGCAAAGTTTTCTGTTGTCTTCATCAAGTATATTCAAGGAATAAGAATAAAGAACCTAAAAGCCAAGAAGCGGGTAGCCGTGAATCGAACTATAGGAAGTGATTGTGCCCGACGACGAGACCCAACGGCGACTTCACAGCTTGCTCCGCTACAGCAAGAATGGTCGGGGACGATGCTTGAAGGCGGCCTTCCCGCCGCTGGGTCTTCGTAGAGGCCATCGCCTGGAGCCATCTGAACATCTTTTGGACGTGGACAACTTTATCCATCTCACGACACCATTCAGCTGTATCTTCTACACCGGCGGGACGCACGGTCGCATCCTCCATCGATCACCTTTTTTGAGAATACCTGGGGTCTCGATCGACTGCTGGTGCATAGATGTGCTCCACACATGGCATTTCGGACCATTGTCCTCGTATGTCGCACATTCGCTGCGAACCCTGATTTCTTCGCCGGTGTATCAGCCGGCCAGTTATAAGGACCTGGAGAAAGAGGAGGCTGACAAGCTCGCCTTGCTTCATCTTCGTGCGGAACTTTGGTCGTTCTACAAGAGACGCCGAGAATCAGACGAAGATTGGAAGAGAAAAGGCTCAGAGGCCCGACGCATCCCACTAACCAGAGCCCGCTTAAGCTTTCCTCAGTAGCGATGGATGACCCCTGCAGGTGTGGAACCTGACCTTGACCATGATTGCTGGAAAATATCTCAAAGCGAAAGCTGCCGAGACACATGGGCTGCTCAACTTCGTCGTCGATAGACTTGCAAAGCATTCGGAACAACTGGCTTCGACGACTGAAGCTGCTTCTGTCGATCTGTTGCTGAGAGCAGGCACTGCAGCGATGGACTTCGATGCAGTGCTGGCGGCTCACCCGAGAGCGGTCGATGCCGACACTTGTGCACTGCTGTTCGACAACTACAACAGGTTCATCTGCCTGGCTGCCAGAGCCCAGATCCCTCTCATGCCTAAATGTCATATGATGTACCATATGATTCAGAGGGCACTGCTGAAGGGGAATCCCCGCTTTTACTCCACTTACATCGACGAATCCCTGAACGGGGCGATCGCCCGTGTGTGCCGGTCGGTTCACAGACGAGGATGGGCACTTGCAGTGTATCGCAAGCTTTCTATGCTTGAACAGCTGTTGGCAGAGGATGAGGATTGAGCTCTGCCGGCACTTGATCCGTTGGCTTCGTTTTTTTAGGCAGTGGTATTTTTTGTACGAAACCGTTATAGGTAACATGGACGAAACCTTTCAGCTTGAGCCTTGGCCGAACCCTAAACCCCAAATCCTAAACCCTACCAATAAATTTGTGTATATATATATATATGTACCCTGACCCTGCTGCCTTCCCAGGAAGATTGCCGAAGGCTGCTTCTTCTGCCGAGCTGCTGGTGCTAAGAATCACTGTTTCCGAGTTGCAGCTCCAAGCACCACATCCGCATAAGCAGGATTTTCTCCTAAGCTGAAGCAAAGTTTTTATTTGCTGTTCTTCTTGTGACGGTCCCAAGCTGGCCAAGGGTCTTCGTTGTGTGGAACTGTAGGACGAACGCCCCACTAAGCTCTAATTCCAACCAAAACTTCCGAACCCCGAAAGCCTCAGCGAACACTGCTTCCCGAAATCCGAAACTGCACGTCGACAGGTCTGATTGTAGGCTTGTTTTTATGGAGACTAAAGTAAACCAACCAATGAGGCTGTTCCACTGGTGACTGGTTGTGCTGGCTCTTCCGAGTCTCGATTCTTGCTGGCCTTCAGAAGGTTTTGACATACTCTTCAGCAAAGGCGAAATTTAGATTGGGGTCTCGTAGGTCGTAGGGTGATAAGCACAGTCATCTCAGGAGATGCCGGGGTTCGCGACACTGGCTTCGGAGCGCTACAAGTTTCAAAATGTACAGAAATAGTGCGCCGGGAACGAGCCTTCAAACCCGTTGCCTTGCAAAATCCCGTACTTATATCCATATTCGATTCGATATGCATTCGGAGAAGCAGTAGTCCTTGCTATCTTCGGCTCTACCCCTGGCTTCGCGGAATTTCGGCCAAGAAGCAAGGAAAGTCGACCGATGGCCCGGAAAGAGCACGCAGATCGAAGGGCTTTCGGGTTTTTTGGTAAGGTTTACGGTTAAGGTCTTACGGCTTCGGTTCTAGGGCTTAGGGTCCAGGGTGCGAAGGGATTAGCTTGAGGAAGGGTCTGCTTTGCGGTCCCTCTTTGAAGCTCAGGCCCTAAACCCAAGCCTGCAAACCTTACAGCCAAATCCCAAGCAATCAGCCCAAGCACCCAAAGAGCTATGTACTTTCAGTCGTCTTGTGCACCCTAAAGCTGAAAACACTTCAACGCCCCAACCCAGGTCCCGGAAACCGCAAACTTGACAGAACTTAAGCCGAAATCCAGACTTGAGGGGAGAGGTAAGGAGAGACACACAATATTTCGGCTCAAGCATCATGAGCATCAGTCTATGAGTTGAAAGCTCATAAGAATCATAAAAATATTGGCTCGTGCAATATATATACAATCGTTTGCTTATATATGCAGCCCTGTCTCATACACAACGGCAAAACAACCTGCTGCATTGGTGTGAAGAAAGATTTGTTGGACTTTGCGTGTTTTTGCTCAAGTTATAGGTTTCGCTGTTTCACCCCAAAATGGTAGCGGATCCAGAAACAAGTGGGCGTATCCAAGCAGGACAAGCAACATACGTATCTACTTTCTGGATCCGAAAGGTGGTCTGGGATAGCAGGGGTTGTGGGGCCTGGCAGAGAGCTGCCCCTACAGGAGGTTCCAGAGGTGCTTGTGCACGGCTCCTACGCGAGGCGCAGCAACAACATCCTCAAGGAAGGATTGCACGCGCGTAGAGCGATCCACCTCCTCTCCTGTGGGTCCAAACACGGCAGGTGGAGATCGGACATCGAAACCTCCGTGTGTGTTCTCGCCAGAGAAGCCGCTCGGTACGCCCAGGTTCGGTTCCTACTTACTACCAATGACATTTACCTGGCACCGGACGGAATACCCCCTAATCATATCTCGCAGATCGAGTCCTGGCGGAAAGGACCGGTTCCCTTCCCACCGCGGGCAGCGGGGTCTTCCGTGGGGCGTTCCGCTCACGGAACGGCCGCCGGCTCGCGCCGGGAAGGAGCTGCGAAAACCGCGGCCGAAAAAGCCCAACAAAGGGCCGAGGCTGTGGCTGAGCACAAAGAGGCCGCACGCTTTACCGAGAGGCAAGAGGCCAGGCGTAAGTTGGCGTCGGCCGCGCCCCGGGGCACAGTGGGCGTGGAGTTGCAGAGAGCTCTGGACTCCGACTGTGAGTCCTGTTCGGACCGCAGGGAGCAGTCCACCCTGAGCGCAGCAGCGTACGCCACACAGCGCCTGCGAGCCATGGAGGCGCGACCTCCACCGGAACCCGTCGTTCTTAGGCCACGCCACCAACCCGGCACCCCGGCACGGGGCGGCGAACAAGGGGCTCTGGGGTCAACCGACGGCACAGCAGAAACCTCAGAACGCCCCGAGCCGGAGCTGGGGGACGAGGAAATGGAGCTGATAGAGGTCGCTGAGCAGAGGAACTCAGACCAGTACCCGCCAGAGGGCAGCCCCAAGGGCGATGAGCCGATGCCTTCCGTGGAGCGTTCCGCTCCCGGAATAGCAGAGGCCACGCTCGAAGGCGACGAACCGATGCCTTCCGTGGAGCGTTCCGCTCCCGGAATCGCGGAGGTAGAGCCTGCGGTCGGTCCAGGTCTGGGCGCCTCGAAAACTACCGCCCAGGAAGCAGCGCTGAAGGAAGAGCAAGCTGCGCCAGGGGAGAGCGCCTCGACGCCGCCGAGGCGCGTTTCGCGCCCGGCGAAGGCGAAACCCAAGCAATCTGGGGCCCGAAGGTTGAGGAAGGAGGTCCTTTGCAGCCCCTTGTTGACGCCGCCCAGGCGTTGGGGGAGGTAGCTCTGGCAGAGCCGGAAGCCATCGCGCTGAAGGTCGACCCGGACACGTTGACGGCAGAAATCGGCAAGATGTCGCTTGAAGATGAAGACCCGGATTGGTCTGGCGACGAGGCCGAAATTCCGGTAGCTACCGCCTTGCCGGGCGAGGCCGCGTCCAGCTCCGCCAAACAAGAGGAGGGCAGGGGAACTAAGAAGGAACTGGAGCTGGACGAGACGGAGGAACCCCCACGCCGCCGCAAAGTGGTGTTGGCTACTGGCCAGTTGTCGCTTCTCCGGGCTCTGGCCGCAGCCAACGCGTCCAACTGGTCCGGGGTTCAGCGTGCTCTCAGAGAAGCCCAGGGGTCGGGCGAAGAGAAGAGCGAGCTTGTGGAGAACCTTACGTCCCTGGCGCAAGCGTTCTCCAAGAACCGCGACGCCTGCGCGCAGGCGGCAACCTCGAGGGCAGCCGCTCTCGCGGAGCTTGAGGGCGCAGAAGCCGCCTACTTCGCGGCGCTCCCACCGGCCCTGGCAGCAGAACTGGAACGCAAAAACCCAGTGAGGCCCAGTATGGATAAAAGCCTCGGGTGGATCAACCACGCACGCTTCCTGCAGGACAAGGAAGCCGCCGGAGTGTGGGTGGCACGCAGAAAGGAGAAATCCCGCCTGCGAGCTGCCGCACACCGAGGCGCTTCCAGGCAGAGCTGCGAGCTGGGGAGCTAGACGCCCCGATGCGAGCCGCGGTAGCTCAGAAGCGCAAGCCTGAGTCCGAGCGCAGGCGACGCATCAAATGGGCCAGGTTTTGCGAGAAGCAGGGTAAGACCAGGAAGTACGACCCTACTGAAAGCGAGCAGAACCACCCCTACGCTCACTCGGGTTCACCCCACCTCGAGAAGGCCATGCCGTGGCCCGTTCCGGGCCCGGCAGGTGCCCGACGGAGGACGGGCTGGAGAACCGGGGGATTCCTGGCACTATGGGGGATGGTCGCTACCTACAGCATACAGCCAGTGAATGCACTGCCGAGACCCACCAGTCCTCCTCTCGGGGATAAGGCACCGTGGCCTGCTTCAGGCCCGGGCATGGCCGGAGAAGGGACCGGACTGGGGCTTGGGATGATGCTAGGTTGGATGCTCGGTAGAGGGCGTCAGAACCGGAGAGGAAGAACCGGTGGCCTCACGGTCGCCCAGCCAGCCGACAGTAAAGCTCCCCCTCCCACTCGACCGTGGATAGCTCGACCCTTGCCGCGTGACGAAACCCGTCGGAGAGTCGTCACGCGAGCTATCTGGCTGACCACCGTCGCTCTGCTTCCCATCGTTGCAAATGCTGCCGAAGGGGACATTGTGGAAGAAGGGGGAGTCTGGGAGCTATGGACGCACAGGCTCCTGACCACCGGCTGCCTCTACCTTGCCTGGCGCACAACCTTAGGCTGGGGCGTCGAGAAGAAAGAGGTCGCCTGCCAAACCACCCAAGGACACCCGCCTGCGGCCGACCACGTCCGTGTAACGCCCGCCGGCGAATGCTTCCATGCGGAGCATTGCGGACACTTGAGGGCGAGGAAGAGCCGGGCATACAGGCCCTGTCTGGATTGTTCCCCGCTTGAGCCCCGTCTTACTCGACTGCCAACGTCGGGGAGCACACCCGCGGCCAGACGCCAGGGGTCCAACTATACAGGGTTCCTTCGGGTGATCCTTGGTAGCCTCGCCGCCCTCGCTTTGCTCGTGCTACAGGGGTGCGACCGACAAGCAGAGGAAACCGGTCGACTTGGCAACCCAGCGGTACCACCACTGTTGGGAGCTTCTGCTCTTGTTGCGTTGCTCATCACCTGGCCGGGTCCGCCGTGGCGCGCTCCGCGCCCGGCGTCCCGAAGGGTGGGGGAAGGAACGCGCAAGGTCAGGTTTGCGGTACGAGAGACACGCCGGGAAACCCGGGGAGAACTCTTGCCCGCCCAGACCTCGAGCTTAACGACCCGACATCATCGGCGTCGAGGCAGCCACCCCCTCGTTGCCCCGAGCGGGAATTCCCCCGCAGAAACGAAGCGGAAATTCTCAGAAGAGGGGCCGGAACCAGGGGTAGTCCCCGCCCGTCGCTGGGCGCAAGAAAGACTGCAGTTGGTGAAGGACCACCTATCACCATCCACCCAGCGGTTGTATGACGGCCATTGGCGCTGGTGGGAGCTATACACTAGACGTCGGGGCGTTTCAGCACTCCGCTCCGTGGATCGTTTCGATCCCGGAGAAGAGTCGTTGTTCCTCGACTATCTGGTGTACCTATTTGTGGGCCAAGGGCTAGCAGCAGCCACAGCACAGGCCCGCCTGGGAGCGATTCGAAGCGTACACCTACAGCTCGGCTTCCCAGACCCGCTGAAGCCGCTTCCCCGTTTGCAACTTGCACTCGAGGGAATCGGGAGGAGAAAAGGACCCATCGCCAAACGACGTCCGGTTACTCCGCACATGTTAGCAAGGGCCCAAGCGGCGTTGCCACGGGGGCTGTGGGGAAGACAGCTCAACTGTGCATTGCAACTCGGTTTCTTTTTTCTCTTGCGAGTTTCGGAACTGGTCGGCGGCAATAACCCAAAGCTTGGGCTCCGTGTCAAAGATGTCAAGCTGTACAGCCGTGGCGAGTTCCTCGCCCGGCCGCCCTTCAGCGGGGCAGATGAGGTGCAGATCGTTGTGAGAGCCTCAAAGACGGATCCCGAAGGGGAATCCGCCACGAGGAACTTTATTTCGCAGCGATGCGGCCGTCTGCCCTGTGTTGGCGACCATAGAGTTTCTGGAACTCAAATGGTCAGAAGCCACGCCGCATCCGGAGGAAAGATTCTTCGGAGAACTTACAAGGCAGGACATCCAGACGGCACTGCAAACTGTCGCTGCCTCCTTGGGAGAGGAGGCACAAGCATACACCCCCCACTCTCTCAGATTTGGGGGAGCTTCTGCAATGTGGGCAGGGGGGATGGACTCTTATGTCCTCCGAACCTGGGGCCGGTGGAACTCGGACGCATTTTTAGCCTACCTTTGGACGTCTAGGAAGGCGTCCGCCAACACCGCTGCCTGCATGGCCCGCGCAGACATGACGCCGGTCAAAGGGTTCCCAAATAAGTGAACCGCCATCCCCCCTTCGTGTGGCCCTTGTCGTGTCGCGCTTCGCGACCGACAACCCCTTTGTGTGGAGGGGCACACACTCCTTTTTTGGTACAAAGGGGGGAAGGTTGCACAAACGTGCAAAAGACCAAGGACTTCGTGCTTCGCGCGCAAAAAGAGTTCTGAGCCGAAGTGAGTGTGAAACGTGGTAGCTTAGCGCTGCGTGCGTAGTGTTTCACCTCCGTAGGCTCTCGGCTCAAGGGTGACCCACCCACCCACCCCCTGCACAAACGTGCAAAAGACCAAGGACTTCGTGCTTCGCGCGCAAAAAGAGTTCTGAGCCGAAGTGAGTGTGAAACAGTATAGTATCATGAAGCATAATGTTACATGGTAGGCTACACAGTAGCATAAGGCTGTACAGTATAGTACACTACGACACAATATTGTGTTGTTTATGTCTTACTGCTTGACATTATGTACTACTCGGTGTCAGAAACTTAGCTTATTTTAGATTACATTACAATTTTGTCACCATAGTGTCTTATATCATGTTAGATTCTGCTATATCAGACGATGATGCATCTGGTGATATTTAGATTGTACGGTATTATCTCTTGTGGCATACTGTATCGCACGCCATCCATCATGTCATATCTGATCACTTCATCTGACACTATGCTATGCGCTTTATCGTGTTGAATCATGTTTGGGCTGCTGTCTGTGCACATGTGCATCTATGATCTAGATGTTGGACTTTGTAAAGTTCAAGCAGCGAGTGTGCGAAGAGAAGGCCACAAAACTCGGGCGTGTAGTGAGACACTTTTCATATACTATATGAGAGCATAACATGTTCTGTATTCAACAGACTATCATACACTGTGGTGTTCTTACGATGAGTGTACAGAGAATTGGTTGGCCAATCCGCAAGGAAACCGCGCTTCCACTTTCGCGCTGCTCATGCCCCGTTGTTTACACAGTCCCCTTGCGGCCCACGTCTTCTGTATCTCATTATGTTGTAAGTTCCAACACATTGGCTCCATTGTGACATCGCAATGTTCGAACCCCGCCAGTGCCTGCGTGGAAGCATTCTGGTGGTAGTTCTGAACCCGGCAGGCACACTGGGTGAAGCATTGTTGTAGTGGTTGCCAAGAGATGGTAGGAAGCATGTTGGTCATGTCTCCAGAATGCAAGAGTGCATGAGCGGAGACGTTCTCGCAGGGGTCGTGGATCCCGGATGTACATGGATTCAGAAGGATTTTGGTCATGTTTTCGAGCCTCGCCATATGGTGCAGCGCTGCTAGGCCCGCCTCCCCCCCCACCCCATGCTATCCCCCGTCGCCCCCTGTGGTTCCGTGTGGTGTGGGTTGCCCCCTCCCCCCGGTGGTTGCGGTCGGCTGCGCCCCCTTCCATGGCTGTTGCTGGTTGGGCGTCCAGTCGCTGAGGGTTTGGAGCTCAGGATGTGATACAGTTCACTGAACTTCGACCTGCCCTGCCAATTGATAGTGTTGAATGTTATGGTGATGATGATGACGAAGATGGTGGTCGTGATCCCCATCCGCACTTTCCTCCAGTCCCTTGCTCAAGAGTCCCGAATGAAATCACACAAACCTGACTTTGGACCGCAAGAACATCACAAGCCAAGCACGATCTTCAACTAAATAAACCAATGAACATGCGGAGGCGAAGCCCAGAGCAACATAAGAGCGAAGATACGAGCAACAGCCACACTGGGAATAGCACATCAACGTCATTGTACACAACATCATCGCCATCAGTGGAGGGGAAGGGAAGGGCGCCTTGGGGTTCCCTGTGTTGTTTCCATCCTTCCCCACCCCGCCCCTGTGGTTCTTCCATGTTTTGAGGGTTATCCTTTCCCCCCTCGTTAGCTAAGGCGAGAGGCCTGGCTTGAGGGGGGCATACCGCGGCATACCGTGGAGAACGTCGACGGTTATGCGGATGACGTGTGACTGTTTGCTAGGACGAGAGGCCTGGCTTGAGGGGGAGGACGCGGCACCATATATAATATATACACACCCATGAAGTATAGTTTACATTGAAAAATGTTGCACTCCGAAACATTGGAATGTCCATTTTCGCCAAAGATCCAAGCATTCAGGACGGAGGGATGTCGGGATTCAACAGCCCCAACTGTTAGGATATGAGGTGGCGCCGAAGCACCGAATTATCATGGCTTTCAGATATTTCGAAAACAGGCCCGCAGGGGACACTCACGCTCATCCGGTGGTTGTTCAGAGCAAAGGCTCGAGTATCTCTGTGTTTCGAATCCCAAATTGATACGACATTGTTAGGGGAAGCATACCTTACCTTATACTGCATTATCCAGTACTTTGTAATCAGCTATATTACATTCTATCACATTGCATTACATCATATGACACTACGTATATCACAGCTTGGTACAGTCTTTTACATTCCATTCCGGTGCAGTGTTTTGCACGAGACAGAGTTCTGGTACAACAACAACAACAACTGGAGCTGCTATGGTACTGTCAGCATTATATGTGTGTAATAGCTGGGATACCCTGCAGAGTCTCGCGCTTTGCACCGTGGCAGAGCGCTTTCTGCTTCTGAGGCACCTGCAGACTTGCGGCTGAAGATGAACGTCCCTTCGCAGTGCGGAGCTGAGGCAAAAGCCAGTATTTTACATGGAGGCCGAAGCCTCTCGCTTTTGAGGCCGCTTGACATGGTGGACCTGCGCACGCCCTCGTCAATGACCCTGACCTGGGATGCCGGCGACTCGAGGGAATGCGAGTTTTCGATGCGTGACGACGTCGCGCTCGGAGGTGCCGGCCGTGGATGGAGGGAACCCGGTGACCTCCTACCAGCTCTACCGGGATGCCAGGGGCACCCAGCCGGGAGAGAAAAGACAAAGAGCTTGAAGCTTTAGAAAGGGGGCAGGGGTTATTAGCGGCACCTGGGCTCCGCTGGGCTCCGCCTGAGCCTGAGGCCGGCGACTCCTCGGGCATCTATACTTTGGCCTATGCGGGGACGTCTCAGAGTTTTTCAGAGGGAGGAGGAGAGAGGGACGAGGGACAGAAATTCCTGCCCTTGAGAGGCGGGGACCATGGCTTCGGTGACCCTCCACTCCCTCAGCAACGGCAAGACCTACCGCTTCTACGCTGTTGCAGTGAACGATGCCAGGGGCCCTGGCAGCCAGCAACTTCATCGTGACGGGACGCTCTAAATTCTTTCATGCAGTGTCGAATGTGTGTCGCTGCAGAGGTGGGGCCCGGCGCGAGGACCAGCGTCTTCACGGCGGAGATGCGCTGCACGCCTCGCAGCCTCGTGGCCGCGCCCTACAAGGCGCTCCGCCTGCCGTGCAGTGATCACTAACGGCCACCCCTGAGCCCCCTGAAACCCCCACCACCCGACTCAGACGCCCTCTTGGCACTTCCTTTTGAAGCATGCGGCCGGCCCGACGGGGGGGGGCGCTTTCCAGCTCAGGTCTCGGGCAGCCCTTGGTCCATCGCGATCGCTTGGCCCGAGACGGCGGATAACTGTGGCCGAGCTGTGCAGGGGAGCCAAGATCCAAAAGAGAAACGAGGAGAAGTTCAAACGCTGGTTTGTAGGGAGCTTGGGCTTGAGCGTCTACAGTCTTGAGGGTTCAAGATTTTAGGGTTTAGGGCTGAGGTTTTCTCCGCTCTAGTCGCGGTTACAACAGCGTCACTCGGCTTTGCTTTGCCCCGGCCAGATCCAGCTACCGGGTTTACCGGGACGGCAACCTGGTCTTCCCGCTCTCGAACGAGTTTAACGCGTCGCCGGCCCTGGTGGGCGCTATCAGCCGGGGCCCTTTTCTTGGAGCACTCAGCCGAAGCAAAGCAAAGGGATGTGTGGGCACAGGCTCGGATAGCGTCACTCTGCGCATCACCGCGAAGGAGTCGGGATCTGCCTGGGCTGCTCACCTCAAAAAGTGGCAGCACGGGTGCGCTCTCTTTTCGTTTCGTCTGGGAAATAGACCTGGCGCTGTCATTGTGGGCGCTTGGTGGGTGTCTGTGACTGTGTGGTCGTACAATGGCCTAGGCCATCCTGGTGATGGACGACGCCGGTTCCACAGAAAGCGGTAGAGCCTGTCCTGTCCGCGGTCATCTGCAGTCATCTGCGGTCGTCTGCATACTGGGATTCTTGCCGCGGGATTTGGGCTCGAGATGATGTCGTACGGGAGTCATGCCCGTGTGGCTGCACCCTTCGCATGTCCATGTGCAACTTGACGACGCGAGCACTGGCCTCGCGCGCCAGGTGCCTCAGCCCCTAGCTCAGATCCAACCCCGCAAGCTGGTGAGGGAGGACGGCGACCAAAGCCGAGGGGAAACCTTGAGCGAATGCCTGAAGAGCTTGGTGACCAGCGGCTCCAAGTGGCAAGACCTCAGCAGGACCAATGAGGTCCAATTTGTGGACGGAGAGGTCGTCACGAAATATTCTTCCATCGGAGTGGACTTCAGCCTTTCGCTCCTGTGTACAGATGTGACCTGGACTCGGATACCCACGCCTGAGTTCGATTCCATGCAAACGCCCTTCGATCGGGCCGAGACGGAAGAGATCCCAGAGGTGAAGTTCCTGATCGGCCTGGCTCCCCGCTGGAAGCGCATGCAGATGGCGCCCTTGGAGTCCTTCGACGACGGCACGGACGAGCTCTGGGTGCTCTGTGCAGCTCAGAGACAAGACGAGAGCTCGGGGCTAGGGAGCTTTGGAGCTTTGGGGGGGGGGGGGGGGGGCGGTGCTTGCTGTTTCCAGGTATCCAGTCTTGACTTCTGAGGCAAGCTTCCAGGTCGGCACACCCGAGATGGAGTCCTTTCTGCGAGTCCTGCAGAGAAGCGGTGCTCTCAGGCGCCGCGCTCAGCCGCACCCGGCCGTCTTGGACGCCCGAAGCCGGAAGACTCAGACCCAGACCCCACCACTTAGGTGGGACATTGACGAGGAGTACGTGTTTCACAGACAGGTCATTGGACGGGGCTCCTCGAGCATTTCGCGGCGAGGCGAGGCCTTCGCTCGGCTATCTTTCTATCTATATATGGGTGGTTGTCCCTTTTTGGGTACCCTAACTATTAAGTGCCGTATTATTTTTTGGGACCCAAAAAGGGACCCCAATTTTGACAACTACCCATATATATATATATACATCTGTTATATTTGTATCTATCTATTTATCTATCTATCTACATCTTCACATCTCTACATCTCTACATCTCTATATCTCTGTATCTCTATAGTCTATATCTCTAATATCTCTATATGTCTGTGTATATATATATATATATATATGTATAGATGACACGGGAGCTTCACTGTTTCTCCCTGTTGCTGGGAGGCCTCTTGCGCCGCAGTTTTCGCGAGCTCTCGGTGTTGGTGGACGAAAGTCATTCGGAGGCCCCCAAGAAGAGCCCTTAGAGCCGTGGGCCGTGGGCAAAAGCGCCCGTCCTTCTGTTGGTCGCAGGAAGAGCCCGCCTCGCCGCCCTGCGATCCGGTGGCCATCAAGATCATGAAGCACCCGGCCGCCCGTCCTGAGAGAGCTTAGGGGTGGGGGGTGCTATGTGTGCCCAAGCATGTCCGCATGACCCGACCTCCGAGGAATCGGACGAGGAGGCACAGTCGATAGTGAACGAAGTTCGTTTTCTGGCCGCGAGTTGTCAGCATCCGAACATCGTGCAGTTGCTCGGAACCTTCTGCGCAAAGTGGAGGGGCAAATCACTCTGGCTTCTGGCGCTGGAGCTCTGTAGTGGTGGTCGTCTTCAAGATCATGTGAAGATCTACGGACACCTCGAGCCCATCACTGGGGAGGGTGCGAGTGTGGGACTCCTCTCGGCAGTAGCCCACTTGCACGGACGTCGGATTCTTCACAGAGACATCCGGCCTCAGAACATTCTCCTCGCAGAGAATCTTCGAAGCCCGTCCCCGCAAGTTAGAGCAGTCTCTGCTTTGAAGCGCTCTTGCCGCTCTTGCCGCTCTTGCCTCTTGCCTTGGCTCTGAGGACCCGTGCTGGTGAACTTCGGCAACGCCTGCCGTTTTGAGGACGCGAGCCTCAGCGTCGCCCGGCGGACGGCCCGAACGGCAGCTCGTCACACAAGACGCGTCGCGCCTTGCCGGAAGTCTTTTACTGCCGAGGATGGGTACACCGCACCGGAAGTCATCGACGCACGCTTGGGTACTCAGGGTCCCGCAAGCGACGTCTTCAGCCGCTCGGCGAAAAGGCTCTGGCTTTTTCGAGGCGGTTAGTCGCGTGCTGCCCAGGTACGGCGGCCACTGTCCTTTTGATGCTCACTGGCATCGAGCCCTGCAACGAGGCGCGAAGCCGAGGGCTGTTGCCTGTGCCGTGGCGGATGTGGCGCGGCGCGGAGGCGAAGAGTGCGGAGCAGACCTTGACGGGAAACGCGAGACTCGACGAGCTGGCAGCCAGCAAGCTCAACACCCCCACCGTCCCAGCCTCGGCCGGGCCGCGATGCCGCGATGCGCATGCAGCTCTCTCTCTGCACTCTCTCGGGAGCCGCGGAGCCGAGCGGAGCCGCGGAGCCGAGGTCGGTTTGCTGCAGCGCCTGCTGGCGCGGAATGCGCGGAAGCGCCCAACGGCCTGTCAGGCCAGGCCACCCTTCTGCTCCCTTCTGCTTGTTTTCTCACCTTTGCTCTCGCTCGGTCGGTCTCGCTCGCAAGGCCTGCATGATGCTGCATGAGGAGGCCGCGGCAAGAAGCCTGCAGAAGGGTGCGCGATTTTTGGCAGAGAGACTGTCTGAAGGCGGCCGAAGAGGTGCAGGAGCTGCCGGTCTTCGAGAAGGCCGTCACAGCGCTGTCCATGACGCTGGCGGCGACGGGAGGCGCAGGCCAAGTGGGAGTCTCTGCGCAAAGTTCACTCACAGAGTGTCTCTGTGCTCGTGGCGCCTTTCAGATCGCGGCTCTCACGTTGGCTTGGCCTCTATCGATGAGAGCGAGGACCTAGAGGAGCTCATGCAATCGGCTGCGGAAGGCCCTTCGGGTGAGCTGCAAGGGCAGTGGCAGCAGTCGATGCTGGAAAGTGTGAAGCCTGGGTCTTTGAAAGGAAGGGTTCGTAGTTTACGCTCAAGGCTTGACCTCAAGAGTTCCGTCTTGGACAAGGATCATCAACAGAATCGTGGAAGCCACCGTGCGAATTCAACCTGACCTCTTGCATGCAAGTTGGTGCTGTCAACATACCTATGTTGCCGATGGGCCTATGCCCATGATGATGTCGCTGTGGTGTTGGAGCACGTAGTGGAGATGGCAAGGTTCGGTGATTGCGGTGGTTTTGATGGCAGTGGAAGTGGAGAAGAGCTAGAAGTTAGAAGGAGACACAGTAGCAGTGGCAGACGCAGCAACAACGACATTAAATGCAGGTCCAGCAGGGACTTGTAGTAGTCTACAGTACCAGCAGCATCAGCAACAACAGCCCTCATCCCCGGGGCGACAACTGAAATCCTCATATGGAGGGGTCAGAAAAACACAGGGACCTACTGATAGAAGAACCACCCGTAGCCCCGCCACCCACCCCCCATTGTTTTCAGATGCACGCGCGCGTGTGCGGAAGCCAGGATCTTCCAGCTTCGCTGGCGGTGCCCCCGCGGCCCCCATGAGCGACCTTGCCGGCGGCTACTCATCAGGCACTTGCCGGGAGAGCGCCGATCGGCATCTGCAATGGAAACACATGTGTTTTAACTTGTCCTGGTACGCATACCTATGCAGACATGATCATATGATATCTGTTATGTAGAGTTTGCACGCATTGTTTTCCCATATCTGATGTCTGTTATCGTAGGCTGTGTGCTTCATATTTGATGCTTTATGTTGTTTTAAGAATGTTTTATCATGCATGCAACTATGCGGTCGATGGATGGATGATGCATGCATATACGTACGTAGGCGGCAGGCAGGCAGGCGAGGGCAGGCCACGGTAAGGCAAGGCAAGGCCGAAGGGTACGTAGGTAAGTCGAGAGATAGATGGGCAGCTGGACGGGTGTGTTTTTGGCAAAGAGCAGAAGTGAGTGGAGAACTTTCTCTGTCGACCCATCAGGCCATGCGAGGCCTCCCCCACCACCAGGCAGGAAGGGCGACAAGTGCTGCCTTGGCCTTGAGTGCCTGAAGATTCCTGTGAGCGCCTGCAGGCGGGGCGGGCCCTGCGCCATTGCCGTTTGAGCCTTCGCCGACGCCGACGCCGCCCACGTCGCCGACGTCGCCGTCCCCGTCCTCCTTCACGCCGCAGCCCCCGAGCGCTCCGAGCCTGCCTCCAAGAAAAAGAAGATCCACAGGGGACAGGGGAGTGATGGGGAGGGGTCTGTTGCTGCTCGCATTTTCTGAGGCCCTCGGAAGAGCGGGAGGCTCTTCCCGGGAAGGTCCCGTTCCGTGAATGAGTAGAAGTTTTCGAGGAAGCGGCTCCTAAGGAGTTGTGCAGAGCTCCCAACCGGCTGTTCAAGACAGCCCGAGTCAAGCAAACAACGGCAAGATGCGTATTGGTCTGCCTAACTTTTCCGTGCGCTCTAGATGCGACTTGACGGCTCCTTGCTTGTGCTTAAGATGATATGCAGTTTCCTTGTCACGTATACCATCTGTTACTTCTTGTGTGCCGCTACTTGGCGGTTCGTGTCCGCTCCACAAGAGCTAAGAACTTGCACGTGGTGGACCCAAGCTGATTCTCACACACCTGCCTGCTGCCTGCAGGTCAAGTTTCTGCAAGCCAGAATGTGTGTTAACTTGTGCTTTATTGACTGAGGTGTCAGTGACAGAAGTCACGAAGCACCTTGTGCCATGAACTTTTTGACCCGACAGGTATGCGCCACATGATATCAACCACTGAAAGGCATGATGTGCAAAGATGTTCTGCCACTCCTTGTTGGTGCAGTTTGCCGCATGCCCCTCAACATTCTCACCCTTTACCAGTGTTTAATCCAGGTGTGCACCCAGGTTTATGATTTTGAAATCGGGATGATCCGCCTGGTTCAATCAAGAGATCGGGCTGCCCCGAGCAATCTCTGATGATTTTCCCTGCATAAACCCCGCCGTGGTATAAAAGTTCGCTTCCGACTTTGGCCTTCTTTTTGAGAGGCATTCGCGTTCCTACGATGAGTGCCCGTGTAGGCTTCCAGAGCCTTGCATTTTTTGAGGATACCCTCTACACGCCGGCGCCCACCTCCACAGCACCAAAGGCGCAAGAAACGGGAAAAGGGAGATTCCGTGGTGGCTCTTGGAGTTGACTTGTGACACGGAGGTGAAGGCAGGCATGGACGCCGTGGGGAGGCCGTCCATGCCCTCAGCCCTTGGTTGTCAGACTTGCTTTCTCTTTCCGAGTTGCCTCTTGGGATATCTTGGGACATCTTGGGACCTTGCAAGGTCCTGCCGTGGCATTGCGGTGCCTGTGGTGGCTGGAGTGGAGCGAGAGTGCGGGTCTCGGAGATGTTGAGCAGATCTCTCGTGCCCCGCACATTTTGCTAGGATTTTGCTGCACGGCTGCGGCCTGATGGGGATGGGCTGGTGCGCCCTTCGCTCGGCCGTTCCTCGCTCTTGCATGGTGCTAGGATCTTGTACTTCCAATCCCGATCCCGAGCGCTTCGTAGGATTATAGTGAGAGTGAGACTTGAAGAGTTCAGGCAGGGTTCTTGTCCTCGTGGCCACTGTAGTGGGTGCAGATTGCTTCGTGCGTTGCAGGTACTCTGTCTTCGCGTACGTCGAGTCTTACGATGCCCTTGACAACGCCCGAGCCTTTGGGCATCTCTGAGCCATCTGAACCCTTTATTGCTTTAAACTGGCCCCTGAGATCAAAACCCGAACAAACCCTGAAGCACGCCGAAGACTCCCGAAGCCCTTGATCCTGCGAGGACGGGTCCTTGTACGGGCCGCTGCGCTTCCAAGTCCCGGCGACCTCCAATTCCTTCGCCGCGAGCGCCCCAGGGAGCCGCCACCACGTGGAAGTAGAAGTCTCAGCAACTTCCAAGGAGAGCGAAGTATCTTTAAAGTTAGCCGGGGATCCAGGAGTTAGAAGATGTCGAAGCGGAAGAGATTTAGAGTGCCAACCTTCGACAGGGATAGAGAATGGGGTCCTGTCCGACATCAGTATGGCCCCGAGGTGCCGCCGGAGATCCAGATGCCCGTGACAAAGGCTGCTTTTTCGTGCCTTTTCTCCCGCGCCGAATCCGCGACGGTAAGCGCGCGATCGCCAGGACGGCCTCGCCGTGACTTTCACGCCCACGGCCTCCGCAGGCGCTGGGGTCCTGGGATCGCGAAAGGAAAAATCCTAAGCCTCCAAGGCCGCCCAGGCCCCCTCCAAGGCTTGCCACTCGTAGAGTTCTTCCCCGGTGCTCCCGGCTCCCTCCTGCTTCCACTGGCACTTTTGATGGAGACTTCGGGACTTGCGTCAAGCGAACTTATCGCCGCCGACTGCATGAACCCAGGGGCGTAGGCCTCATCCTTTGAATCGGAAGAGATCTCCATAGTCAGGCCCAACATTCAGAAGCAAACAACCCAACAGGAAGTTTTATGTCGCGGTAATGACTTGTGGTGGAGGCTGGGGATATGCCATGATTGCGGCGGAAGCGGACTATGCGACGCTCACGGTGGCCAACGTCAAGGCTGCTACCGTTCCTACAGAATCGTTGATGGGTTTGGGTGGGCTGAAGGGCTTGTTGTTGCCGCGCAACCACATGCTATAAGCAGTTTGAAAGGACAGTGTTAACAAAGGTGAAACAGGGCTTTGCCAGCGGACTTGGAGGGAAATCCCTGCAACGGGAACGAGCCCAGCACAAACAAATTCAGGACTCCCAATCCTCACGAATTCACCCCCAAGTGGATCGGGGCCCTAGCTGCGTCTGCTGGCGAGGCCTTCATGAGCGCTGTGGGCGATGCCTCTTGCAACTCTGCTAGATACATAGATAGGTAGACTGGTGGACAGACAGCTTGCACGTATCGATACGTGCACACCCGTCTGTGTTTGCACGTCCGCACATCGTCGTTGTGTGATTTGTGTGTTGCAGCTCAGGCAAGTGGAACGACTTTGCCTCCACCATGGGGAACACGGCCTGTGCTGCAGTGACCGGTCGTGATTGCTAAGAACAGAGCTGTCTTCCTAGTGCACCCAGGTGAACCTCACCAGCTGCAGACTCTACGGGGGGCAGAAGTACCGGCTTTTCGTGTACGTCGAGGAGCCGCTCGAATGCGAGAGTCTGCCATTGGGTTGTGGGCCTCCTGGCTAGGATGGGCATGTCAAGAACGACGGCGTGCTGGCAGAGCCCATGGAGGTGATGGTGCCGCCTTCCAACAGCTTCGCAGGTCAGCCTTCGTCTTTTGTTTCATGAGCAGACTCCACTGAAGCCTCTGCAGGAATGTACCCCTACCCGAAGCTGGCGGCCACGCGGGCTCCCCGGGGACACGTAGCCTTCCCACCCATGCCGCGCCCAGAGCCTCCGGAGGCCGACGCCGAGCCAGGTCTCCATCGAGCTGGAGCCTCGCGAGGCGGGGGGGTGGGGCCCGGCGGGGCTGGGGCCAATAGCGATGCTTTCAAAAGCTCCGTTCCGTTCCCTCTTGCGCTCGGTTACCGTTGTTTCTTTTCAGGCTGGGATGGCCTGGGCGGTGGTGATCCCGGAGCTGGCCCGGAGCGTAGATCCAAAGGTCCCAAAGCACAGCCCCTCTGCGCGACAGCGGCGACAGCGGCACGGCGGCCTAGGAAGCGATCAGCGCCACCGTGGCTTCCATCAAGGCTCGGACTGTTTCGTCCAAGCGTCTGTCCGTGTCTTCCTTTCAAGAAAGCGCCGAAGCACCGCGCGGTGGGTGATGGTTAAGGCAGCCACGGGAGCCATGTGCTCGACTGCCAGTCCTGAGCTGAGGGATTCAAGCCGGAGTTCTCCCGCAATGAGCGATTCCTTGAGCGGAGGTGTGGCGCTGACCAGCGGGATGCAGAGCTTCACCATCGACAGCTGTGCTTTGAGCCTCGAGGTACTTTACAAGGCCAGAGCTTCAAGCAGTGTCGCCAGGAGTGCCCGGTACTGTAAGCGATGTCTCCGAGGCGATGGTTTACATCGAGGATGGAATGGCGGAGAACGACGGCAGCTTTGCAGCGGTGGATGTGATGGTGCCCTCAAACGGCCCAGCACTTGGGGACTTTTTGGGAATCTCTCGGTGCCCACATCCACATCTCTGCCTAGAGCTCTCCTCGGTCAGCCCCGGGCGAGGCACGACCAACGCCTTCTCTTCGTACCCAAAGCTGGTCTCCATCGCCGGTGCCGTTGCTTGGGCCCTCCGGCTCCGTCGGGTTCGCTTTGGGAAGCTCTGGCCGTGGCGAGGCCAGCTCCGATGGTGTCACCTTCACCGTGACCGCCGGGGGCCCCAAGATCGCCCCGAAAGCACCCACCGGGCCCACCCCCTGAGCTCCGTAGGCCTCCGCGGGGTCTCCGCTCCGTTGCGCCCCGAGGCCTCGGGCGCCGACGGGCGGCTCTGGGCCATGGTGGTGCCGGACTACATTGAGAACTGCATGACCGTCAGGCACAAAAGATAAGAAGTGCGAAGGCGCTCTTTCTGACCTTGTCCTTTGCTGATGGCGCGGCACCACAGGGCCATGAAGTTCCTGCGCGATGCGCTCTGCAGCCGCTGGCGCCGCCCTCGTTTCTCCCCTGTGACGCGCATGTGGGCCATCTTGAACGTGCTAGGAACTATGCCATCAACGACCAGCCGCAGAGCATCAGTATCATGGGCTGCAATCTGAAAGGCAATCGAGCACACTCGCCGGTGAACCTGGCATGTGCGGGCTGGCCCTCCCGTGCAGGTGGTGACACGTACCGCCTCTTCGTCTACGTCGAGGCTCTGTCCACCAAAGCCCAAAAAGCGCCCATGGCCTGGCATTTGTGAACAGCCCAAGCACCCACATACCCACACACCAACACTGCTGAAGTGCATGCCACCTTTTTTGAATCCAGCAAATTATACGCCGCACTCAACGATGTGTATAATGGCTCTTCACAACTCCCCGAAGCAAACCCTGGCGCAGGGGACTTACAACGGGGACGATGGTGTCATCGCACCTGCAGTACAGCGACGACCTCACAAGCTCAGGCCCAATAAAGCCTTTGCATGGCATTGCTTGGCCGTGATTCGAGGTTCGTGGTGCCGCACACGAACACGTTCTTGATGCAGCCGACCGTGACCAACAGCTTGGTTTCCCCAGACGGCTTTCAGCTGACGTGAAGGGCTCAGCGACGCTCAAAGCCTCCGAGAAGGCACTTCGCCACGGGGTGCGCGATGCGTGTGTTTTTTTTTAGGTTCCAGGCGGAGACGGAGGGAGCGGCCCGGGACCCCACGCCGCGTTGCGCGCTCGCGCGCGCACGTTTCTTCCGCCCCTTCGTCGCTCTCAGGTCTGGGCCATGGTGGCCAGAACCTGAGGATGGCAGAGGGGGGCTTTCAGATGTGCCGAGGGGCCTCTGACTGCAGGTCGCCAACATCCACGAGCAGTGGGTGGACCCCAATGCCATCAAGGCACCCTTTCCGGCGGTGAATGCTGGAGTGTATTCTATGTGGGCACATGAGTGGGCGCCTCGGGTTTTGCTCGCCCCACCGCAGCTGTTTTTGCTGCTAGACACGGGGGTCCCATGGACGCGGCGCCGCGGTCTTTGGGCCGCAGAAAGGAGGGCAATATTGCAACACATGGAGCATCCTCATGTAAACCCAGGTTGGCGTGCCAGGAGGTGCCTACCAGGCAAAGATCGCAGCTTCTGTTGAGTCTTGGGCTGCTGGGTGCATTTTGTATCCACACATTTCTTCCGTCAGCAAATCGCAGTTGAGACACCTGTTCGTACATGTCTTCCTGCGGCGATTTCGCCGAAGCTGCGGAAGTTGACAGCAAAAGCAAGTCAAGGTCGAGCTTTGGATCATCTTGCCCGCACATGTCAGGCACCATGGCCGCCATGACCCCAGAAATCTGGGACGAGCTGTCCCACCTGAGGGAAGACAGGCAGAAGATGCTCGAAACTGGGCCGCAAGCATTTTAAAGAGGCGAGACAGCATGTGAGACTCAGGCAAGCAAGAGTTTATGATATCTGCATTAGGATGCATCCCTGCTCGTTTCGAGGATGCCGCCGAGAAAGCGAAGCAAGAGGGAGATGAAGGCATCGGAAACGACCCAACCCGAAGCATCATGCAGGGAAGCAACGGTGCAGGTGGTGCAGAGTTTCAAATGATGCTCGCCGGCGAGATCTCGGAGAAGATCGAGGCAATGCTGGCTTTGTTTATGATCTGCCAGTGTCTTTCGCCATTTACAAAGGAGCTGGAGAGCAAGCATGGATCTGCACCGCCCTTGCCGGGACCGAGTTGGGAATCGGTGTCGACCTTCGCAATGACGTATACCCTTCGATCCTTAACTCATGCGCCCAGTGCTCTTCTTGTGCAGGAGCCGGAGGAAACAACAAGGTCGTTGTGCCGGAGTCCAAAGCGACAGCCGGCTGCACATCGGAATGCCTTTTCTGTACGGTTTGTCTTGCTCTTAGCTTTATTCTGTGTGCCTTAATTCCATGACAGAGAAGTGTTATAAGAGGACTTTCTACTTCTCCTGCGTGCTTCGCCGAGGAGAGGGCCGTCTTTCCAGACGGTGCCCCCTCGAATAGGCGTTGGGATGCTTGGCCGGCACACAGCGCCCCAAGTCGGAATGCTTTCTGTGCTTCGGAGTTCCGAGAGCCCGGATCCGATTTATTTCTTTTCGAAACAGGGGGAAATGCCGAGGAGCCTCCCCCCGCCGCCGGCACCGATCTTGGGGGCAACTCGGTCCGGAAAAGGGTTCTGTCGCCTAGGGCCTAGGCCTCCACACCTGGGACAGTGCATCGTCATGGTCCCTGTTACTGTTCCCGTAAACTTGATTCGTCTTCCGACAAGTTTGCTGGTGCTGGTCCCGAAGACCGCCCGGTCGAAGCTGCGAAGCCACAAAAGTTCACCCCGCACCGCGCTGCTGTCCAGCTGGCAGGGCGGAACTCGGCATCACCCACCGTTTGTCGACGATTGGAAACTGAGGCGAATTCAATGATCAACATCCCTCCCGGAGTTGCAGGCATTGGGCCAGCACCGAGTCTCGTAGTCTCGTCTCACGCGCAATGCAAGAAGAGGAGCCCTCGCCATGAGACCGGGCATGAGCCTCCCAGGTTCGCAGCTCAGAGATCGGGACGGGACCCATGGCCCGCCTAGAGAGATTCCCTTTTTGGGAGGCTTGGGCCCCGGGATGCCGCCGGTGGTGCTGCCGCCGGGCATCCAGCCGCCCATGCCGCCGGGAATGCCTGCAGGGGGCATTCCGGGCCCGCCGAGCCTCACGCAGCAGCAGGCGATGGAGTACGATGCAACAAAGGCCAGCTGCAGCTGCAGCTCGCTCTCGCTCTCTTGCTCCGCAGACTGCCTTAGGCTGCATCAACTGCTCTTGAGCCGGAAGTCATAGAGCTTGTGCACTACTTCAAGATCGGTGAAAGGCTGGAAAAAGAGCTAGCCGCTTGAGCACCTGCACCGACATGACACTGACGAGGCACGCGCGGATGCTGAACGAACAGCTGAAGCGCCGCAACAACACCTACGAGGAGGAGCGACTGGAGATTAGCCCGAGCCGCGATGAGCTGCACTTAGCTTTGCTCTTTCGGACGCGGCCAGGACATCGCCTCCTTGTACGAGATCTTAAAGGGTGCCAAGAACCCGGCAGACCTTCTCATGGCCGCCCGGCCGGAGGAGAAGCGCGGTCCGGGCACGTGGGGCGGCTTGCAGTTGCGATGCTGCGGATGCCGAACGCAGCCCCGAGCAAAGGTTAGCATCCGATGGATGGAGCAAGGCAGGCTGCCTGGCTGCGCACGAGACTGAGACGCCACGTTGTGGGTCCCCATTTGGAGGCGTCTTCCGGGGCTGCCACACTCCGAATCCCAAAGTCGAGAAGGCGGCGGTGGAGTCGTCGTTTGCGACTTCGGCCGTGCTCCAGTGCAGTGCTAAGAGCTAAGAGAGGTCTCGAAGAAGTACAAGCTCGACGCGCCCTCGGCGTGCAAGCTTGCAGAGGCGACGCCCAAGAAGACAGTCAGACAGTAAGATCGAAGATGCTTGAGCCGAGAAGTGCCAGTTCTCTGGTTGAGGCCTTGGAGAGCCGGGAGGACTCGGACGAAGCCCTGGACAAGATCTGTGCCTTGGTCCGTTTAGCCGTTTCAGGCGTTCTTGTTTTGTGCGCTTCGTGCAGAGAGACGTCTATTCGGGGGTGTGGAGTGTGGGGGGTTCAGAAGTTTTGGGGTCCAAGGCTGAGGACTGAGGACCGTTTAGCAGCTGTGACTCTGTCACATCTGGAAGCCTTGAAGGCGAGCATTTGGCGGCCTCGAACAAGCCGTCATCCTTAGACCGAAGCTCAGATCACCCAAAGAGCCGACAAAAACGCGGGCGCAGCAGTGCACTTCCTGTTTCCTGCTCCTGCTCCTGCCTGAACGTGTGAAAGAGCGTGAAGTCCAAGGTCATGATCATGCTCAAGGACATCAAAAACGGAGCTGCCCAGCTCTTATCACCAGACCAGGGAGCTGCAGGGGATGGCCTTAAAGAGCTCCTGTGAGCCCAAGGACATCCAGCCCTGCACGAAGACTCCGGCCATCGGCTCCTATCTGCACAAGAAGGTCGGGTCGGGGCTGCCTCTTCCCGGAAATCACAACCCCGCCCCTTTTTTTCACTTCTTCTTCTCTTTGGGAGGAGACCGAGAAGAGCCGGAACCGCACCTCGCGGAGCCGCGAGCGTGAGCGAGACCGGGGCTTCCAGCCACGCAGCAACCGGGCTTCCAGGAGTGCTTCCGAGACGGAACGGGTTTCCGAATAATGGGGGTGCCTTATTTTGGGGTACTTATAATAAGGGTGCCATCTGCTTCTTTGCCCTTGAAGGAGCCGGGATCGGCGGAGTCCCAGCCGAGGCCGAGGTGGCGGCGGCGGCCGCAGGAGCAGGTTCGCACGGCTCTTGCACGGCTTTTCGCACCAGGGCTCCGTCCGCTCTGCGGGCGCTTCCTTTTGCAGGAGTCGAGGCCGTGGAGGCCATGGCCACGGTGGCGGCCACGGGGGCGGCCACGGCGGACACCGAGTGCCTGGGCGCGATCTCTTCGTGTCTCTCCGCTTCCACCCTTGTTTTACCTTAGGACCGCGGTGGAGATCGGGGAGATCGGGGCGGCCGTGAACGCGACCGGGGCGACCGGGGCGATCGGGGCCAGGGCCCGGAGGGTCCGGCGCCCGGGTTGTCGCCCAGTCAGGTCCGGTATCCGAGTTCGATGAACCGAGGGGAGAAGGGTGGTGGCAGATAACGGGGAGGCGGTGCAGCGCCTCGCTTGCATTCATTTTCCGATACTTGCCGGGGTCTGCAAGCGAACCCGCCGGGAGGCTCTGGCTGCACGCGCCCTTCTGCGCGCGGGTTGAGAGCCCGTGAGCAAACGTTTCGGCTTAGGCCTCACCCAAAGGTGCCTTTAATGTTGGCTGGACGCATGCAAGTCTCCGGTCTTCCACCCGGACGCAAGCTTTCACCTTACGTTTCATGCAGCTGTTAGAGTAGCGCAGAAGTGGAAGACTGGGGACCCCGCCCGCTGTCGAGCACCAGATCCGCTTGACGCTCAAGTCGCCCAACGGAACAAGTGGCTTTGGGAATCAGAGCCCTATCATCTCATATGATGGCATGTCCTGCCATGTCCTGTCATGTCATATGAGATATAGGAATATAGGACTGCATCTATGCATGGCGAGTATGACAGAACGGGGCTTCTTCCAGAGGTGGGCACCTACTCCTTGGGCAGTGCGCTCTGCCACCTCCAGGGCGAGGTCATCAGCCCTTGGCTCGGAGACGGACGGAGCCCATACGCACACATGTGTACATATGTAGGGTTATACTCGTATCATGTCAACAGTATATTGCATGATATCATATTCTCTGCATCTCTACTAAACCGCACCATGTTAGATTGTACTCTAGTTTATTCTATCATGTCATTGTTTTTTGGTACTGTGCTACATTATCTTATTTAGTTGTGTCATTTTGCCGTACACCTACTGCCTTATATCATCCAGCATCATTTCACATTTTACAATGGCATAGTGCAAAGTATCATACTATATTGCATTAGGTTATGATATCACACTATGTCGTATGACATGTATACGGTATCATATGCATCGTCTCACATCACATCTTTTGTCACTATGCTATATTGTATGATACTGTATTATGCCACATTATCCTACTTGGCTTTAAACCATTTCATGTTATGTTTCTCTCTCTCTCTCTCTCTCTCTCTCTCTCTCTCTCTCTCTCTCTCTCTCTCTCTCTCTCTCTCTCTCTCTCTCTCTCTCTCTCTCTTGTCCTCTATCATATGATATCGCATCACGTTGTATTATCTAACCTTGTTGTGGATCGTTATGTTGTATCATGTAAGATGCTATCAGATCGTGTTATGTCTGTGTTATGTATTGCAGCATGTTGTACTGTATGATAGTATATCTTATGGTACATATCATGTTGTATCATATTGTGTTTTGTTTTGGCTACGTTACAATATCTACTCTGAAAAAAGTACATGATAACATGGTGTATTACACAGTATAACATATTGTTCGATGCAATGTGATGCAGAAGTGTACCTATGCATGTATAACATGCTGCAAGGAATTAGCATATCGTCACATATCATAGGGACTTCCTATATAGTCGTGCATTTTCTTTTCCATTACGATTTGTTCTGTTCTGTTAACTTATACATAAGCATTTCTATCATCTCATAGCATTCTCGCGTTTCAGATTATGATATGTTACACTTGTGTCATACTACTTTGTGTTATCTCATTTGTTATATACTTTTGTTTCGTATTGTACCAAAGTTATCTCATATCATGCAGTCTGTCGTCCCTGAGCGTCGGTGCAGCTGCGGGGTCCCTCGTCTCTGAGGTGGTGCGGTCGAGACGATCGCTCTCGCCCAGTGTGCGCTGCAGCGTGGGGTGACCTACAAGGCCCGGGCCGGTCCTCGCCTCTCGGATAAGGAAGTATTATGTCGTAAAGATCGTATAGTGCAGGATGATATATAGTAGTATAATAGTATTCTATATAAGATACTAAGATATCATGTGCGGCAATATCATTTGAGACAATCGCTGTGTGGCTGGGGATAGGAAGCGGTGATGGACAGTTTCCTCGCAGGCTTTCGCCTACGTGGAGGGCCTCAACTCATCCTATGCCCGGCGCTCAGATCAAGCCAATCCCCGCGGTTTCTGCCGCCGCGACCCGCCGCAGACCGATGGTCAAGCTTCGCAGCCAGTCATGGTTCTGGCTCCGGCCTCAAGAACCTGCGCAGAAGCACACAGGGTGCAAAGATGCACGCCGTAGGTTCCCGTGGTCTCCATGCGATTCAAGACCGAGCCCTTCCTGGCGCCCCCTCGCTTCCTAGAAAGAACGCGTGCCACCCGACGATTGCTCGAGTTTTTGCCAGGCGGAGTCCGTCTTGACCAGCCGTGTGGCCTTCAAGTTCACCACGGAGGCCTGGCATGGGAACGGCATCTGGGCGGGCGCCTTCGGCCAGCCCACACCCGGCGCAGGCGACGGATCAAGGTGCTGCCGCAGTGGTTGCAGGCAGCACAGGAGTGTGTAGACCAACGAAGTGGGAGAGAGACTTCCCCGACAGGAAATGTCTGGGCCATGGTCTTCCTGGCCTTGGTTTGATTCTCCTTTCTCCCGCTTGGCCCCCCGCCCGGCTGGCAGGTGGTCCCGGAGCTCCAGGCCCCGCAGGTCACGCGCTGGAGCCTGAAGTCCCTGATCGGGAGCCTGGCCATGGGAGGCTCATGGCCCCGAGCTTGGAGGCTTTTGGGAGTCTGAGTTACCTCGCCTTGTGGGAGGCCCCGGCTGCCGCATCGATGGCGAGAGCACGGTGGGAGGCACGGCGGTGGTGTCGCTCACCGAGGCCAGGCATCAAAAGCACCGCGCGACGTGGCTACGATGAGAGAGAGATTTGTACCCTGGAGGTCTCTGCCGTGCTGGAAGACTGTCAGCTGCGACACGGGTCGACCTACGAGCTGGTGGTCTACGTAGAGGCAGAGACGGAGAGATGCCGACGGGGCGGTGGCAGGCCTGCCTAGTTCTGGACGCAGGACCTGGACAACCGAACCGATGGCACGATGGTCTTCACCAAGATCTACACCCCACCAGGCACTGGAACTTCGAAGTCCGGGAAGTGAAGTGACAAGGAGCCCCATGGCCGAGGTGTCTCGAACAGCTTCAGGTATCTGCCCATGATCGATGGGAACGTTACAGGGGAGGAGGCAAGCGCCCCCGCATTGTCGCGGCTCTGTCTCGCGCGCTGTGCTACGGCTGGCAGGTCACAGTGCAGTTTGCAGGGAGCAATCCGATGGGCAAAGCCTGGGTGGTTGTGGTGCCGGCCAGTGCGGTGAGCCGGGGCCCCCGGGGCCCCTGTCGCCGAAGGCCGAAGAGCAGAGGAGGCCCACTGCTCAGGTTCGGCCACCGCCAGCTCTGTAATGCTCTTCCCTCAGAGAACAGGAGACGGCCATCGGCTAGAGCTCCTAGAAGGGGGGGGGTGCGACTGAGATCTGGGACTGGAGCCCTTGGCGGGCCCGACTGCATGATCACGGCCATGGACGTCGACGACAACGTGACACAGCAGGGGACCCTAAAGCTCGCAACCGCTTCCCCAATCCGAAAGCGGATTCTGCTCTGGTCGAGGGTGGACTTGGAGAACTGCTCCATGGCCTTCTCTGCGGATTACGCCGTGCTCGTGGCTGGGCTTAGACTCTCTCTGTCTCTTTGTCTCTCTCGCTCGGCTTCCCTGGGCCTCAGCGGGCTTTGCAGAGGTCTACGTGGCGGACATGGGCATGCACGATGACGGTAGCACTGGCCTCTTCTGAGGGAGGGGTCCCATCGAGGGAGGGGGGTCCGAGGGGTCCTTGTCCCAGTTCCCGGACCTTGCGCAGGTCATCGTCATTGCATCGAGTCGAGAGATGAGACGAGTTCCACAGAACCCCAACCCCACTCAAGCACGACCCCCCCCCCTCCAAGCACACTTTGGCACATTCACCACTAGCCACGTTCTCTCCACATCCCCAAAGCAGCTATGGTCGCCCATGCCCTGCGCCGCCGGAAACTGACGTCGGGGAAGTTCCTTTGTGGCTTCCACGAGCGCCATCTCGCGAAGAAGAGGGGCGCCGCGGCCCTGGAAGGACCTCCAGCGCTGAGCCTCATGGCGCCCCTCTCCGCCCCGCCTGCCAAGAAGCTCCTGGAGGTCTCCTCTATATATATATATATATATATATGTATATGTATATATGTATATATGTATATGTATATATATATATATATGCATATATATATATGTTTGTATGTTATTTTATACTTTATTATATCATATATATATATATATATATATATGATATAATAAAGTATAAAATAACATACATATATTTATGTGTGTATATATATATATAGATATTATATGTATCTAAACTTGTATTTACATAGATTCAGATATTTGGGAGCTCAAGAGAGCAGACTCCTCTTCCAACATGGCGATGCGCCTCACCAGGAGATGCGCGCGGCGGTGCAGCTGGAGACGAAGAGCCAGCTGCTGAGCAAGCTGCACGCGGCTCCAAAGAGCTGCAAGCTCCAATTTGTCTACGATGGCGGTTTGGAGATCTTGGAGAAGTGGATTCGGCAAGATCCACCGCTACAGAAAGCGAGCCTCTCCGTGCTGAAGGATCTGCCCGTGACAGCAGCCGACCTGAAGAAGGCGAGGCTGCGAGAAGCCCTGGAAACCCTTGGTAGAGAAGGGGATGACGAAGAACCCGACGAGCTCCTGGCGCAATGGCAGGCTCAAGGCAAGGGACGAAGCTCCTCTCTAACTTTTCAGACTTCTTGTAGAAGGGCTGAGCTTGATCAGGGGCTTAATGGATGAGGTGTGATGACGTCAGCGAAGCGCTGTCTTGTTTCCACGTCTTCCTCATAAGGAGGCGACGCGCAGCTGCTCCCGGCAGGTCTCTTCTCGGTGCCAGCCAGATCCGTGGCGCCCCCGAACCCGGCGGGCCCGGTCCCTGACGAGATCGGCTCGATCGACCCCGAGCTGCGGCAGCTGCATCCGCGCATCGCCGAGTTCCTGGCCAGCCGACCCGTGCTGCTGAAGTTCCTCAAGGCAGAGAGCAGCTCGCAGCTCGAGCGGAGATGCGAAGTCGAAGTAACTGTAACTCCGTATAATTGCACATTGCGACAGGTCTTCAATATAGACCTATAAAGTTTGAGACTAAGAGGGAGATCTGCAGCGCAGGCCCAGCCTGGCGCGTTCCTGAAGAACCTGAGCTCGCGCTCCGTGGCGCTGCTGGTGCGCCTGCAGAAAGCGAGGCTCGGGCTCGGAGCCGCTCCCGCCGCCGCCTCTTCGGAGGCGGCGAAAGCGAATCGAGCGAATCGAACGGTGCCCAGACCGCAGACAGCGCCTCCTTTGGTCGTGACTTTCTTGGCCCGGAAACAAACTGTAGGGTTTAGAATCTAGAATGAGCTCTGAGGTGCAGGTCACTGGCCTGGGTGAAGATGCCGAAGACGATGTGGAGTGGCTCCTTCAGAAGCTGCGGGAAGTGGGGCTTCAGGAGTGCAAGCAGACTGGAGTGGAGCTTCCACGGGAGAGCCACTACTCCCAGCCATGCTCCACGGTCTACATCAGGAGCTCAGAAAAAACAGTCTTAGATCACCGTAGATCAAAGACGAAAGCGCCGGGGGGGGGGGGGGGGGGGGGCCTTTGTTTGGGGAAGCCGAGCCTGCTGGGCGGCCCCTGGGAGGCTGGGCTCCGAAAAGGAAGCGCTCCTTGCCGCCGGCTGCCTCGACGACCGGTGCCGGGCTTCAGAAGGCCAAGGGGCGCTCTCTTCCCAGCGATTCCAAGCTGAGGTGGTGGGCTCCTTGCTGCGATGGAGGGCTCAGAGGTTAGCAGTTTTAGCAAGTTTGTTGAAGGTGTTCACCCTGGGTGGCCATACCCTGCAGCGAAGCTCACGCAGAATGTTTTCTATGGCTGGGCGCAGAGGCGACTCACGATCTCAACGAAGAAACAAGAGAACCGACAAACCAACAAACGACCAGTACAGCTTTACAAGTTGTTGGTTACAGTACACATGGCTCAAGAGGCTTTCCTACGCAGCCTTCCCCTAAGCCAAAGGATACAGGAAACACACATGTACAAGCCTACCTGAAGGAAACTATACAAGTGCCGGCAATCCCTTCAAGCAGACTACACACCTGTCTAACCTGATACCTGGGCATGCAGTGAGAAGCATTTCAACACTCCTCCTTGCTAGAGCCGACAGGCAACTAGCACACGCTGCACTATTTACAGCATGCCCGTTCCTGGGACCTCTAGCCTTGAACCTTGGCCTTTAGAGACCTGTACGGTGGCGGTCTCTGCAAACACGGCACAAGTTGCGGGTAGTTAAGGGTGTATTACGCCTTAAACCCCAACAATTAGAATCTAGATGAACACAATCCCCGTGCGCAGTGAAGTAAAAGGGACCTTGGGGAAGTTCATATTGCGTGCGGATTTCGATCCTGGCAGGCATCGGATCTGGTGGGACTCCTGTGACTGGTTGGAAAGCAGGCTCACGATCCGTTTGAGTAGACTGCTCACGCACTGCAGGGCGGCGACGAGACTGTGTGGCCTTGGGCCGTGGTGCAGCAGGCAACTCGTGGGAGGACTGCGAAGGCACAGGTGCCCTCTCGCTGTGAGCTGTGGACTCACCTGCTGGTGGTCTGGAAGACACGTCCTCAAGACTCATGCCCTGCAGTTGGGCAGCAAGCTCATCCTCAACAGCTCTCTGCATACGCCTCAAACGACGGGCTCGACGAGACGACGCATGCGAACCAGCCCACCACGCATCAAGCCGATCCCACAATCTCTTCAACCACTCCCACACAACAAGGACACAAACCAATGCCATGCCAAGAACGAAGTAAAGCTCCAGGGATCCATCAAGCTGCAAGCCGGGATACTCGGATTCACGGCTCGAGCTTCGCACAGGTTGGATCTGAAGCAAACACAACAAGGCACTCAACGCGACTGGGTCGACAGCTGCTGACGAGCTCGGCCTGACCTCTCGGTCGGCTGTATCACCCGCAAAGTCACGCATGCCCCATAACCTGACAAGCTCTTCAATCCTTGCAGACGGAAGAGGTTTGGTCAGTAGATCTGCAAGCTGTTCCACACCCGGGCAGAAGGCAAGCCTCAGCTTCCCAGAGCGAGTCTGCTCACGAAGGTACTCAGCTCTTACCCGTAGGTGTCGCGTTCTCCATGATCCATGACCGTCAGAAATCGCAAGTGACGCTTGGGAATCAACGTGCAAAACCCTTTCTTCCGCAACGTCAAAACCAACCGTGTGAAGCAACGCCTCAATTGATTCAAGCGCGATTGCACACTCAATCGAAGCAGTGAGTTCACTTTCAGCAGTAGAAAGTGTCACAAAAGCTTGACGCGCCGACCTCCAAGCAACTGGACATCCATGCACACACACGCACCAGCCTCCATGTGAGCGAAGGCCTTCTGGCGAGAAGCTTGCGTCACTCCAACCGTGAAGTTGGGTTCCGTCCGCCTCAAACACCAGCGATGCTGTCTTGGTTCGCTGCAAGTAAGCCAAGGCACGGTCAGCAATGCGTAGAGCACGACAAGGCGCCTTCGTAGACAAACTAGCAAGCAAGCTGGCAGTGAACGCGAGGTCCGGGCGAGTACGTTGAGACAACCACAGCAGTTCACCAGTCACCTGTTGCGCGCGGTGAACGGCCTCCCCGTCAGGGGGGCTGGAGTCTCCTTCGCCAACTTCAAACGACGCTAGCTCCCGAGGACAAGGGATTTTACCCCTCACGTGGCAAGGTACCTCATGAAGCCGCAAGACTTCTTCTGCGTACGACTGCTGTGAGAGGACAAACCCACGAGGAATGACAATGATGTCCACGCCAAGGAACTTGATCGGCTGCTCTGGGGTAGCTACCACAAACGGTGTTGTGGCCCACTTTTCTTGCAGCGCCTTTGCCAAACTTTGAAGGACACCTAGCGACCCACACAACAAGAAGTCATCAACGTACACCAACAATGCGCCCTCAACGCGACCACCTTCAACCCTGACGACTTTCCACCAGTTCGGGTCTAGGGTCGAAGGCTCAAGCCGGTAGGTCACGCCGTCAAGGTCCCACACCAACGCTGCCAAACAAGCATCTCGATACTGTCCCCACAAGCGCGGGGCCTCTCGAAGGCCGTAAACCGCGTGGGATAGTATCCACAGCTCATGTGCAACTGCAAGACCAAGCTTGACCAACAAGCGGGGCGGGGTCAACGCAAAGATGGGGAAACCTTCAAGACAAGGAATAGGCGTTTTGAGGAACGCGCTGGTGATATCCAACACTCCCAACAACCAACCAAAGAAGCTTGCCAGGGCAATCACTGTTCTCAAGCTCTCAGCCTGAGCACCTCCAGCATACACATCCAAGCCTGTATTTGGCGCCACATTTCCGCAAGCAACAAGTCTCGCTTTCCGACGGTACAAACTTTGGCCTTGCGACGAAGCCTTTGGAGCGCCCTGAAGGGCCTCTGTACTGTTGTCGGGCTGAGTGAGCGCAAGCTTCCCAGTGTCACCAACAGCTGCTGCCCCTTGGTCGGGCGGTTTCACTGTGAACACAAACTTGGAAGGTACCACCTGCAGTCGAGGATCACTCAAGTACTCGGCCTGCCTGGGGTCTGAAGGGCGCAGTCTGAGCACCGCATGCTCAATGGCCTTTACTTCTTTCTCAATGGACGGAATCCAAGGGATTGGATTGAGTGCGACTTCTGCGGGGTCTACAGTGTGAACGATTTGCAGAGGTGAGCTTAGATTGCTTAGAAGGTGTTCTATGTTCTTCGTGAACGTCGGTTCGGCTTTGCACAGGCGGTAGGGGATTACGGGTCTACCTTCGCTTACGAAACCCTCCTCCTCTAACGAGCTCCGCGAACCACTTTCTACAACCTTAAGCACCCTCAAACTGCAGTTGCTGGCGTTTGCGGCATCGCTCATGGGCTCCTGCGGAACATACATGTCCCAAGACACAGTAACCGGCCAGGCCTCATCAATCTCAACGGGTCTTTGGTTCTGCTCTGGTCCGGCCTCCTCTTTAGAGGGGCTGCATACAGGGGCAACTGGCCGATACGAACACGACCAGTTCACAGCGAAGTCTACAAACCCATCTGCAACTGGAAAGACCTCTTGCCAACCACCACCTTTGTTGACGGGTTGGCTCTCCGGGAAGCTAGGGTGTTGATGGATAGGGATCTCATGAGCCTCAGTGGCCTCCTCCTCCTCCTGTACTTGAGACAGACGCGGGGCCTGGAGATAGGCGGAGTCTGGGAGAGGAAATCCCAAATCTGCTAAGCCGTCAAGGTCATCTTTTTCGGCCTTTCCAAGCACGTCGGAAGTGTAGCCTATAACAACGACGCGGGTGCCCTTGAAGGGAGTTACGAAATGATGCCGCTTAGGATCAAACTCGAAAACTTCATCCTCTTCAAGTCTGTGCACCACACCGTGACGCTTGCGACCTCGTGCATCAGTGTGCTCTACAATAGACCCCCTAACAACATCCCCACTACCTAACTCAACCCAAAGATCGCCCCCACACTTAGGAAGACACACTGGTAGGATGAGATTTGTAGTTCCCGGAAGGTTGGAAGAATCAGTGTGAATGTCCTTTTGACACGAGTTGGACAGACACACCGACGTGAAGGTAGCATCAGGTGCGTGATGCTGCAACAGGCGCGCGCACAGTGAGGCAAGCCACGGCTTACTCCAAGTCGATCGCATACAGCCTACTATCCCTCCCCTACGGAACATTCCAGCTTGATACTGCTCTTCGGGATAGGCTTGGCAAACCTGCATGAGGAGATTCTTGGCAGCCTCAGGGTCCCATTCCTGCAGCAAAGTCTTTGCGCCAGCTTCAAGCTCAGACCACGTCCATAAACCCGCATACCGACCTGAAATCCACCGTTCGGCAATCTCGCCCTTAGCAGCTGCAACAGACGTGTAGGCCTTCACGCGCACCAGGCACTTAGCACCAAAAGGCGCTGCAAGCTTCGTGGCCATACCTAGTACCTCAGACCTCTGCTGTGCTGCAGCAGCTCGCATTGCACATGCCCACAGGGGCGGCGGGAAATCAGCAGCTCGCAGTAGAGTTCGTGCCCGAGTCTTAAGCCACCTGATGGTGCGCTCTGCTGAGCCGTTTTGGGCTGGCGCATCACCCTCAGTTGTGGTGACCCTCACGAGCTGATTTGCAAACCACTTGCGAGTGGCCTTATTCATGAACTCACGCGACCTATCGGTATGCAAACGCAAGACTGGAAGATTGAGTGCCCGCAAGTAGAGGTAAATTTCTTGAAGGGCTTCAAGGACGGAAGGCGACTTATTGTCAAACAGCGGAACGCAGAACATGAGCCTGTCAGACTGCACTGGCTCTTTGAGATCTGAGTAAAACTCCCAATCCCCTTCTTGAGGACCGCGATTCGGGAGTGCCTCCTCCTCGTCGTCAGCTTCCTGCTCCTGAGCCTCTTTTCCATCTTCCTCCTCCTCTGCTTCTTGGCTCTCGGCCTCCTCTTTAGAGGGGCTGTAACTGTCGTCCGGAGCATGTGGTGGAGGCGGAAGAGGTGGGGCATCATCTTCACTAAGATTCTCTAAGATATCCCTCGCTTCTTCTTCAGTTAGCCCTGTACCTGCACCCTCAAGGAAATCGTCCAGCGGCTCCTCCTTGGAGAGATCTACCTCATCTAAGGGGTCTGGAATTTCGGGCATGCCGTGCAAACGAGGAAAGCGATACGAAGCAGCTAGAAAATACTTGAACTTCTTCGGCGCCTTTGACCTACCTTCCGGGTCAACAGCTGGCACCTTCAGAGGTCCACAGACATCCGCAGACAGAGTGAACTGCGAGGGG